GGGTTTTGGCCTTACAAGAGTACTGGAAATTGATACTGACTTAACTACTCGGTATTGCGTGTTTTAACGACCTTATAAAAACACGGGGAGCGAGGGATACACCAAACATTTTCAGTTGCTAGGAAATTTTGAACTTTGCCCGAGTGGCGGCCGAAGTCTACCCTTATCGATTTAGGACCACCAAGGGACTTTAATTTGTGCAACTTGCACACGAGCCCTCCTAGATTTTTCGCCCTTGTCCGAGAAGGCTAGGTGTAGATCTTTCCTACCAGAAGATCAGGGGTGTGCCTGAAAGACAGCAGGAAGAAGGAGCCAAGGAGTAGCAGTTGAAAGGCTGCAGAAAGAGTTAGGAGCCCAGTGGAGGGCGGCAACGGAGATAAGGGGTGGGTGGGGGCAGAAAGCGGAGACGAAAGCAGACGACAAAATATTGCAAGAGACCAGGAAAGGGGGTGAAAGGAGACAATTTTAGAGAAGAACATTTTTCCGTCGCTACCCGGATTCGAACCCGGCACCTTTGAATGAGAGGCGAACACCTTAACCTCTAGGCCACGAGAGCCCCCAATATCATGTTAGTAGACTATAGACTACACAAGTATGATGGTATAATTTGCTGCAAAACATACACAGACTGCACATGACTACGAAATGTTTTGTTATCGCAACTGCCATTCCTGACCCACTACTAGATCTAGGCCTACCCTGCCGACCATCAGAGACGCTGAAATCTTAAACTAAGAAATGTCCAAGTCAAGGAGCCTGTCTAACTTCAAAGCAACGATGGTCTCGTCGTGGTCACAACAGTTGAGACATAAAGGGTTTCAACTGCCATAGATAGCCTAGAGGAAGGTAGATGGAGAAAGAGAGAGACAGAGAGAGAGAGAGAGAAGAGAGAGAGAGAGAGAGAGATAGAGAGAGAGAGAAGAGAGAGAGAAGAGAGAGAGAGAAGAGAGAGAGAGAGTTCGATTTATACAATCACGTAATGCGTCGCTAAATGACGAGATAAGGTTGTGTTTATGGTGGAATAATACACTCTCCTAACTCAACTAGTACTAGGCTAAATGTTCTTATCAATCGTTTTATTTGGTCGTGTCAGCGATCCATCCATCTCTGTTTGTCTCTCTCTCTCTCTCTCTCTCTCTCTCTC